AGGTGCTGGGGGTGAGCCTCAGGGTGCTGGGGGTGAGCCCGAGGGGCCAGGGGTGGCCTTCAGGGTGCTGGGGGTGAGCCCGGGGGAGCCAGGGTTGAGCCTGAAGGCCTGGGGGTGGGCCTCAGGGTGCTGGGGTGAGCCTGGGGGATCCAGGGGTGGGCCTCAGGGTGCTGGGGTGAGCCCAGGGGAGCCGGGGGTGAGCCCGGGGGAGCCGGGGGTGAGCCTCGCCCCTCTAGTCAGCATCACTGGATTCTCCTCTCACGACCTTGACTGACATCCTGGCCGGCCCCAGGATGGAGGGAACCTGTGCCGATGTCTTGGCGTTGCTTCGCTCTCGATGACTCTCCGTCAGGGGCTGGAACAATGGAACTGCAGTTATCATATTATACGAGTGGCACACTCGCAATATTATAGTGTACCCACAAATGGCGTAGTCACAAACCAAGCCCTGATTTCAGAATCCCAGAGAGTTCACAGAGGTCAAATGTTTAATTGAAATGGAATATTTAAGCTAAATTGCTAGTGCACTACTTCAATATTATTGAAGTACTAATAAATACATTAAAAGACTGTTAGCAGAAGTACTTCCTGCCGAAGAATGATCGTCCACAGAACAGCATTAGCTCACTCTGTGAAGCACAGAGAATGATGATTCAAGCTAATTAAATGCCATGCATTTTTGATAGCACTTAACAATATGTGGTTAATTATTATTATGCAGGGTTTGTTCTATAGCATTAATTATGATGGACTCATTTGGGCTCTGTAAGGGTGGGGGATGTGTTCTGCGGAGGTACAGTGCTGATGTAATTTCGATGTGATTGTCGTTTAATTCAAATGAAGCAACTTTGGACTTTTCACATGGATTCCAATGTTAGTAAAAAAGATGTGGTTTAGGGAATGATCCTTGTGGTCTCTGTGTCTGCAGCTCTCCGTGACGGCAGCCCGGCCAAGAGTCGCTGAGATGAAGGTGCGAGGGGCTGGTTCGCTCCCCGGAGGCCAGGTCTGTGCGTGCCCCTCCCCCACGCCCCCAGATGGAGGTCCAGCTGGAACCCCGAGGCGCTGGAGAACCAGCGTGTTCCCGCCAGCCCGCCAGCTGACCCGGGCCTGCAGCGAGGTTCAGACAGGGTAGTTAGGATCCGTGCTTGAACACTGATTTGCTGGAGAAACAGAGAGAGGAAGCAGAGGACAGGTGGAATGCCAGTCGGGGGTTCACTTCTCAGAGGCCCACAACCGCTGGGCCAGGCTGAAGCCAGGAGCCCGAGCTCAGCCCAGGTCTCGGGGTGCATACCAGGAAGCCACAGCCAGGAGCCAG